GCGTCATCTCCTGGATGCGTCCCATCTCGTCCTTGGACTCGATCTTCCTCTGTCCCTCGCGGTACTGAGACAACTTGGTGGCAACGCTGGACATGGTGAACGTCACTGATGTGCTGAGCGTCAGTGTCACACAGGCTACTGCTTGGTCGTGGAGAGCTCGGTTGAGCATCATGAAATTGACTGGGCATGTTCATGTGATTTCGATCGTTTACACTCTCTGGCATCAACCCTGTGGCATGCTGATTTTTCTGACATGATTTTCCACCTGTGACCTGAGTGACCTCTTCATGTGAAAACCCTGGGCTCACACTCTCGGATAACTCTGGCATCGGGCTGTTGGCTGCGTTTTGGACTGGCACCTGAAGACAAGTAAATCCGGTCGCACTAGATTTCTGTACTGTTGGCTCTTCATTGGGTCCTTGCCAGAGTTGACTGATGTCCATGAGGAACAGATTTTTGCTGGATTGAGATACCATCAGTTCCTTGTTCAGTGATTTACTCCATAAAACTCCAGTATCCGTGTCAATTACCGCTTTGATCCCTTTGAGAAACGAACTTGACAACAAAAAAGGAGTCTTACCTGGAACAATTGCTATGCGAAACTTGGCATGACCCAGCGGCAACAACAAAGCATGTCTACTGGTGAGAGTCTGCTGGTTCCCAAACCTGAACGTCAAGTTGCAAGTGGTCCGCTGAATTTGGCTTTGGACCTTTTCAGGCAGGTTTTGAATCAGTTCCTTTACTTGGGCATCACCTATCACAGTTTGAGAAGCTCCAAGATCAACTATTCCTACAGTCCCTGCTGTTGCAAAATGTACATCACAGATCTGGGTGTCTACGGCAGCTTCGGGCGGGTGCAATGGCTTCAGAGACAGTTGCTCTGATGCGGGACAGGCTGGCACGGATGTCAGAGGCTGTTGCTCTAACTCTGATCGGATAGGCACGCAGGCTTCAGATGACTTCTTGGTCCTGTCGTTGCGTTTCCACTGGTGGTGAAAACGTTCGGCAAACTGAAGCTTATTCATCACCACTTTACCCCGATTATCCCCAGTCCTATCGCTACCCCTTTGAAAAGTCATTACCCCAAAACAGACTTGGTCGGCTGGTTGGTCCTGATCATCCACGATGGAGAATGAGCAATCTCCTCAGGCACTTCTTCGGCAATGACCACGGAGGTCGGGGCAACAGTGGCTGCTGGATTGGAGGTGGAACTACTGGAATTTCCACCGGCACGTTGTGGGCATTCATTCTTCCAGTGTCCCTTCTGCATACAGATCCGGCAAAACGAATTGGCGATACGTCGTGCCAGAGAACCTGGTCCAGAGAAAGGCGTCTTGCCTTTGCCTTTCCCCTTACCCTTCTTTCCAAAACCCTTGTCAGAGCGGCGATTGATGGGCCAGAATCTACGGACTCTCACCCTCTCACTCAAACGTCGTCTGGCCTCCTGGTAATTGGAGTAGTAAGCAGCTAACTCGGAATCTGACTGGATTGTTTCGGAGATAGAATCTTCGAATTGCATCACCAGAATTGCATCCTCGTCATTCTCAGCGGCCAGTGTTTCAAGGATGTCATCCTCACACAGATCGTCTTGCAGGACGAAAGCTTCATGGTCAACCTCAGGGTCATCATCCATGTGCAAAGCAGTGTGATCATATGTTTTCCCGACCTTGTCTCGTCGGATTCCGGTGTAATCTTGAAAGAACCCTGATCCCAGGAGTCGAATGGCAGCGGTCACACTCTTCATGGTCAGGGAGCTGTCTGAGGCATCTTTCGATTCTACAATTACCCTCTTCTTGTCTTCCGGAGGCAATTTGCTCCCCCGGAGAACAATGTAGGCTTGCAGTTCACTGAGAGACATCTTGCGAGACAGCAATTCTGTCCAGATCACATCACACCTGGAAAGATATGAATCGGAGCTTTCATCGGCCTTCTGGATGCTGCGAAACAGTGCACGTTCCGCCAGTTCAAACTTCTTCTCAAGAGGCACCTGTCCCCAGGTACCCCCAACCACTTCTACCAATCGCTTGATACCCTTTTCATCATTTGTGAGTACCTCTTCTCGGAGCAGCTGCAATTTCTGGTACGCCGTGCCTTTGCACCCCAAAATCAGTCTAGTAGCTAACTCATTCAACTTGGATGGTGGCCATGTATTCAAAAGAAGTTCAACCTTGCTCGTCCAGATGTCCACACTGTCTGTTGACGGATCAAAACTCGGAACCAGGCTTGCAAGCTCCTTTGGAACAAAAGAGGCGGAGTCCCCGCCTGATGTTTCACCCATTTCCAAACAGAGTTCACCTCCTTGTCCTTGTCCTCAAAGATCTTGGAGCTAGGTCCCTGCTGGAGCGGTCGACCAGGCGCTCCGCTACCAATCTCAAGATTGGTAGGGAGGCCGATCCTTGAGAGATACCAAAAATCCCTCTCTATCCAACAACTGAAGGAAAAATCCACAATGGAATGTAGTTGAAAGATCCCTGATCTGTAAACTTCAATGTGCCCTGCACAACACCAAACGTAGCACCTTTTATGGCTGACAGCGAAGCTCAAATGTCCCTCCCTCCGCTGGGCAATGCCTGAGCCCACCCTTGAGCTACGGAGAGTCAGGTAGCTGATGATCTCGAACAGGCATGCATTGAACATCATTGCTTTGAAAACATACATACACATACATACATACATACATACATACATACAGACAGACAGACAGACAGACAAACATAGACATACAGACATACAGACACACAGACAGACGGACGGACGGACGGACGGACGGACGGGCCGGCAGGCAGGCAGGCAGGCAGGCAGGCAGACAGACAGACAGACAGACAGACATACATACATACTCACACACACACGCATATATACATATTTATACATATATATATATATTTACATATTTATATATGCACATATATGTATATATCCCACGAAATGTGAATAACATCCAGGATGACTGAGCAACCCATCAGTTTATGTTTTTTTTTGTGATAACAATTTTGATAATCATGATTTATCATTTCTTTGAGGTTCACCACAATTGATAGTCAAGGTTTATTGGGGGTTGACTTGATATAAATAGTTATGGCCATCTACCCACTGATTGAAGGGACCTGCGCCCCCAATGTTGGAGACCAAGAAAACCAGGGAGAATCGAGGGGATTTCCCAGCTGGAGGGGTCCTTGGATGCTTGAGGGACGAATCACTTACTGTACCAACCTTGGTTGGTAAGTTCTGTGGCTTACCTTATTGCCATTCGAAAATACCATCCGGTAATCAAACGTGGACAGGAAACAATCCCCCATAGATGGATTGTTCTAGTTGGGAAAATCATCTATAAATGGAGGATGTTCCATTGCCATGTTTGATCCGTGCTTCAGCTTCTAAAAACAAGTCCCGTTTCCAGTCATCAGCGGCAAATCAGCGACTTCCAAACCACCGGGCACCAAAACATCATTAAGCCTCTTTTGCATAGACAAAAGGCACTTTGGTTGATTCTCCTGTATTTTCCCGACCCAACCATTCCCCTCCCCGTGGCTTGCTGGACAATCCACCAGCAATAGTTCGATGATTTTCCCACTAAATCCACTAAACCTCCACAGCTAGTTCGGGAATTTTCCAGCTTGCCACTTGCCACGATTGATTAATATGAGGGTATATTCCTCTTATCCCAATTGTTATCCCTGTCAATTGTACCATTGCTATCCCAATTGATTAATACCACACGTTTTTCTCATGAATATTCCCATGATATTCTCATTAAATCCCATGAAATCACAGTGGGGCCCTTTTCTTTGCCAGGAGTGGTGCAGCTCCCACCCCCTCGAAGTCTGCCTCTATGGCCTCTGCATCCGCTGCGCTTCGCAAAGCGACCACCATGAAGTGAGCGGTGCCTGGCCTTTTCAATGATGAACTTAGCTACTAAGATGTGGGATTTATATGGGATTTATATGGGATATATATATATATATATTATATTTATGCTATATATTTATGGGATTTATGGATGCCTCTGGCCATGTATTTTTTTCTGTGGGATTCACCCTCCATGAAACAAGGGATTTTCCCGTGTTTCATCAAGCTCCAGCCGGCGAATTTTCGGGGTTAGCGGCCACGAAGATCATGAGGATTGGATGAAAAATCATGGGCACAGAATAGACATGTTAGTAATACGACCATCATAAACCAACCATATGGATGGTTTAACCCATATGGATGGTTTAACCCATGTGGATTGATGCTTTATACTGTTATTTATACTAGAAAAAATGGTAAAATTGGGGATGGTGGATCTGTTTTTGCTAAAGTAACTCATCCCAGTTTCGGGGAAAGAGTTGCGGAAGTCACTCAGGAGCGCCTCGAAATGATCAACTTCTACGTCTTCGATCATCGCCCGAGCACAGTCAGACTGACATTTTCGCCCCCCATCAATGGGTTTGGCAGGTCATTTTCCTATCCGAAATGATCATAGATGTGGCTTCAAAAAGTGAGTTTCCGTGTGTTTTCAGAAAGAAATCTTCGATTGGCAAACTCCTATTGTATGATATTTGTGTGTTGGTTTCTATTGAACCAAATCACAATCGGCCAATTGGCCTCGAAGTGCCACATCGACCGTGGGCTTTCCACGTTCGTGCGATGATCCCTGGGATTGGCCGAGAGGCCAAGCCCAGGGAACTTCTCACGTGAAGCGGATTGGCCTTTTTTTGCCAGAAAAAAGGAGTGTTACATGGTTCAAAAATGTTTAATAGGGATAATAACCATTAGGAACCATTTATCTAATTTTATATAATTATATATATATATATATGATCAATCATTGCAACTTGATTTTGTCCACTGCAGTTGCCCTGGCACAGTGTCTGAGAATTTCAATGGTTGAAATATGGATGGTGTAAAAGGTAATGAATCCAAGGATACCTGAGATATTTCAGATTGTTTAAAAACCGTTTTGCTTTTAGCCGATACTTCATCGGCTAACAGTTGAATTCCCCAGCACTTCGCGCCAGGAAGACTACTGCATGACGCTTCGCGCGCGGCTTCAGGTGTCATTGGCCAAGGTCTCCATGGGATTTCCTGGAATGGGGGTACCCCAATAGCTGGATGGTTTATTTCATGGAAAATGTCATCTATAAATGGATGATGGATGTTTGGGGGGTAGCCCTATGGCTTGGGAAACCTCCATGATGTGAAATACGAACTGCTTCACGAGGGTTACAAAAAGCTCTGGCTCTAGTCAGAATGATGATCCAGCATGAGGGGAACCTCAACCAAGAGCTTCTGCTGGATTGTCGCATATTTGGTGGTGACGATCATGGGGATGACATTGTATGACATTATAGTATGTATACTATGGTATACTGCAAAACGCATATATATATATATTCATGAATGATCAATCACACACACACATATGTATATATATGTATACATATGTATACGTATACATATACACACACTATATATATACACATATGTATATATATATATATATTAGATACATATGTATATATATATATCTATACACATGTATATACATATGTACAGCCACGATTCAATCCACAACTAGGAACCACCATCAATATATCTCGAGGCGCTCTGCAGAGATGGTCAGCATGGTGCCGCCAGGGAAGCGTGCGCCATCCGGTGGACATCAAGGGCATGGGGACCCTCTGGTTATAGATGACATAATATATATATATATATAGATCTTCACTATCGACGACTATCGATATAGATGGTTTTATGGGATTTATGATATTTTTTGGATGATATAGTGTTATTTCTTCGGGCATATAGTGGTATGGGGACATCATGGGAAGTAGCCTTGGTGCATCCGAGGGCCGCGGAGCCAAGGTGTGCCGAAGCAGCCAAGTTCTTCGCCATTCTCTTTGGGGATGACCATCCAGAGCACTTGGAGCCGAACCCATGGGATCCGATGGTGTGAAATAGGATTATTGAACCCATGGGATAGGATTATCCAATTCTCTTGGGATGGGAAGCGATGGAACCCATGGGTGTCCGGTTTTGTCGAAATTTTTGTGATTTATGCAATTTAGGATGGAGTGTCCGGCCTGTGTTGTCCATAAAATTATGGAATATGAATGAAGATGAACACTCCACATTTTTCCGATCAAAGGTAGCTTTTCCTCACCATCATTTGTTGCTTTTTCCCATGGGTTTTCTTGCTTCACCGGATGAGTTTTTTGGGATTTCCAAAGTCGTGGGGCAATTTCCCCAGGAAGCAGCCGCGCTAGCGCAGCAGATGGCCGCCAGCTCCAAGGCAAGGTTGAGCAGCTCCCAAGTGTTTTCAGGCTGTTGACAGGCTGTTTTACATGATTCTACCAATATTAATTTGACCATAATGGTTAATAATGGTTACTGTTTAATAATGGTTAATAATGGTTAATAATGGTTAATAATGGCTACTGTTACATGTGCAAACTTTCGAATTTTGATGGAACACATAGCACCTTTGATGGAAGGTAAACTGGTTAAGCCCCTCATTGATCAACAGAGTTACTCATGGGTTGACATTGTGAGGCTGGTACACCCAACTGGGTTACGTCCCAGATTAGCTCCAGCCAGTTGCAAGTTGATGCTAGTTCTGGTAAAGCTCTGAAATACGTACTGTATTGTTAAAGCCCCCTGTTTTTTTTGGGTTACTGTATATTCATTCTTTGAAATGTCAAAACGACACATCTTTCCGTCAGTTGTTGAGTGCCTTGTTCTCAGGGCAGAACGTCCGCCGGAGGAATTCCGTTGGGGCCCATTGGGGCCATTGTGGAGTCATGGTCATGGGGGATCCCCAGTCGTCACCATGGTTGTTTCAATACTGAGATAGAGGTTGTTTATGACTTGGATGATTTGGGGTACCCCCATGACTTAGGACACGTCCATATTTTGGTGAATTGGTGGTCCAAAGAATCTAAACGAAGTGTGAATTGTTCACCCAGGTTATATATCCGCAGAATTAGCATGATTAAATTGACGGATTTATCCAAATCATTTATGGTAATACAATATTATCCAAAAATGCTAGTGTGGATGATAGTTATATGAATAAATTTGAACATACCCACAACATATTATGATATCACGCATACCTTACGTGAGTGAGTGAAGTAGCGGTGGATATGGACCACTTGCACACAGAAATGGCTGGGGATGTTGTCCAGCAGAGTTGGTGATTTGGCCAAAACCTTGAGGGTATGTAGCCCCTAGGCTTGCTCTACAAGCAGTTGCTAATTGGCACGCCCATCCAACATAGACCCTGCCACATTGGGGGTTTTTAGACTGCCACTGGATTGGTAAACATGGTGATTCTCAGGGTCTATGTTAGTGGGATGGAAGGCATTGGAATGTTGGGATGGAGATCGCGCCAGAGTTGGGGCAGTGAAAACGGGGATTGGCTCTGAAGGGATCCATCGACCTACCTTCGATTTCCAAACCGAATATGTCAAACCGTCCAACCAGCTGAAAATCATCGAACATTCTGGTGAGATTGGGGGTCAGTACCTGGGATATTTCACAGATATTCATACGAGCCTGGTACAAATCATTTAGCACACTTCAGAAAAATCTTAGGAACCCCATGCATCGCCTGTCAACTGTGGTCATGGCAGTTTTGCCCAGGCAACTGCGGACAAAGAAGGGCCAGCGGGGAAAACTCTGCGGATGGATTACCAGATGGTTCTTGGGTATGCCCCCCATTTCATTGCCTTCAAATCTAGGCGTTACTGTAAGCATCAGATATTTTTTGCGGTACCCTATTTTTTGGACCAGACCGCATGTAGAGTCGTTTTGAACGCACACCATGTATCTTGTTTTTGGTGCTGCTGGGATGTTGCTGTCTAAAGACAGGTAGGACTAGTGCCTAAATACCACGCAGGACGTCTCCAGCTATTGGAGCAAAAGCCCCAAACCAGCGGGTGAAGTCAACATTTGGGTTAGAGATTCCGCGATTTTATTTTTGGGAGTTGACTCATACATACTCATACTGTATGGAGGTCTATTGATTTTGGGATGTGACTGGTCAGTCAAGTGGTCTTCGGCATCCGGAAGTCGGATTGTGGAACCCCTGGTGTAACATGGATGATGAAGGTGCAGAACTGGGATGAGTCAACCTGGAGAGCTAGGATTTACTTTTGGAAGTACCGGCTTTGATGTGAAAATCATATGTTCAATATTTTTTAATCAGCAGGAAGAAACTGACTCCCACATATTCCCACAGAAATTTATCGGATCAACCTGACGGGTGCCCGAGATCATCCTCAAAACTGGCTCAACCTCGTTCCTCGTTCAACCTTTCAGGAACCTGTCGTTGTGTCTGTCGTGTCATGAAACTTCTCGGCGCCAGTTACGCCAGTTCCACTTCAAGCCAGGTTACACATGTTACACTGCACCATGAGATCATTAGCGAATCATTACCATTGGTTTTCACTGGCGCCATTGGTTTTCCACGGCTCCCATCGTAGATCTCTGACCGCCATGGCGCGCACCAAGATGGAAGCCTTAAAGGTCTAGTCCCAAGGGAATCCATGCCTGACATTTGGGGGTTGGATGGACTGCCCATCAGACTGCCCATCATTGCAATTGCTTTTCGAACAGCACGCCTACAACGTCGGGCCCGTGCCAGATAAAGATGTATCAATATGAATGCACAGCACACATTTATTTCTTTCTTTCGTTCTTTCTTTCTTTCTTGCCTAGTCTGTCGATCCATACATCCATCATGAATCATCATCCATCTATGCACAATTGTGAACATGTATAATATATATATACAGTATTATATACATTATATATATATGTTATATGTATACAGTAGCATTTATATATCTAGATATTTTGATATTTCAATCATATTTCAATGTTGCCATTTACACGATACCTCGCATCTGACCGTCAACTCAGTCATTGCAGTCTCGATGTTAGGCCAGCGAGGGAAAGGGCAAGGCACCGTGCCGGATCTGGGGACTTTTTCACTGGTGTTTTTCGAAGATTTTCAGCACCCGCGGAACAGTTTCTTGATGCACAGCCAGGCCAAAAAGATGAAGAAGGAACGCAAGAGCAAAGGAGTCCCACAGGTGCAGTCGACGACGCATCACTTAAACATAACTTATCGGGTATGGGTCAAAATTAAGGACCTCCAAAAAATCGGGGTGCTCAATCATAACTCGACTCATACCCATACCTTGGACGATTTTCGAGGACATCCTGGGCGAGGCAAGTGCTCATTGTCATGAAACATCTAAATCTACAGGACCAACCTCAACCACAAAGCACTTTGGCATGGTTCAAAATCACCAAACAAATGTAGAATTCTGCCATTTCAACCAGCGCAGTTTCTGGGTTTTGTCTGAGCCATCCATCCCATTTTGCCGCTTGCCTTGCCGGGTTACTGGAAGTGATTACCCGCCTCTGGATCAACCAGGAGTCAATCCTTGGTTCCTAACCAAGCAAGGTCACCAAAACAGTTTTGAACCCGGCGATCATCCAAGTGGAAATGGATTAGAAGACCTCCTGCAAACTCATGGGTTATTCAATAATCTTTGAATCTGGTAACATTGGGGGGTCAACGAACACCCCCTTGATTCAATTGCATTTTTTGAAGCTTCCAGCACATGACTGTGACCGAAGATCGCAACAAGTAGCAATGTTTGGCCTTTTGCTGGACCATTTCATCCCGTTTCCCTGTGGTAATCAAACATGGCAGTTGAAAACCCTTCGATTTTCAACCAGAGCAACTCGCTGATCGAGTTGGATTTTGGGTGATGCGGGTTGACCGTTGTGTATCCGATATCCATGTGAGATGCAGAAATGGTGACAATTCAGTACACAAAAAAACGATTTCGCAGGGTATTTTAATGTACATGAAATGTCTGATTGGGTCAAGAATTTACTCACATTTCTGAAAGCCAGTTTCAGGGTTTCAATCTGATTTCATCCATGTCTTGGAAAGGCCCATTGAAGGAACTGTTTCAAACTTTTGCCGAGTTTTGAATTAGTTTAGGGGCCCAATTTGAGACCCTGAGTTTGATTCTCCATCGGGTGGTCCAACGTTGGACCTGCTATGATTCTGCAGGGCTTCACGATGGTCCAAGTAGAAGGTACGGGATCCGGAAAAGGGGGACACAGCATGGGGCAGGTTGGATATCACCCTTGGATTTTGGGGCGTATTTTTTGTCAGACTGTTTGGGGGAGATATATCCTCTGAACTTGTCCTCAGCTCCTCGTCTTCACTAGGCTTACTTGGTGGCTCATCCCACTTAGTAAGTGGGATATAACCCCAGTTATATGTGGATTAACCCTACTTATCCCATTTATAACTGGGGTTATAACCCACTTACTAAGTGGGAGGAGCCACCAAGTAGATTTTTTGTCACCAGAAATCTTGCAGGGCACCATGAAAAATCATCTCTGAAACCAGGGCTAAGGGCTCTAAAGATACATCCATTGCTGTCTGCTCCTGGCCTTTCTGATTGAAATACCTTCGATCCAGTTCCTCCGAAAATCCTGGCACAAGAGCCCAGAAACAGGAGAATTGAACAGGACACACACACACAACATATATATATATAATTATATATATATAGGTACAGGATGGGGCCCCCCAAGATAGCGTTAAGTATGAATACCATAGTTATCTATAATTAGGGGGCCCATCCTGTATGGGTTCCGGCATCTCAAATCTGACAGAGGCGACACTTCGGAGCCAAACCGCAAGTCCTCGCAAGAGGCGTCGAGGGACTTCACCGGGGACGTCTGAAAATTGCCAGCAAAAGTTGGTTGAAACCATAATTTCATTGGGTATTTGCGGTATTTGTTGTTTCTAATTCAGACAATCACCAATCTAGCAGCATTTATTGGAATGAGTTATATCTATCTATCTATTTATCTATCGATTTATCGGAAACATCTGAAACTTGATCGTTTTTTCCCATGAGTTGGATTGGGGAAACTCCGAAAATCCGTTTTTTTTCAATCCCATCAGTCCCGTACTTCGCCAGGTTCGATTCTACCAGTCGAACACAGAGTTGCTGATTCCCAAAGCAGGGGACTCAGCGTTGGGAAATCCTAAAAAACATCTACCGTGGTAGTAGAGAGTTAGAAACGAAAAATCTGGTACATTTTCATGTACATGATAGATACGGATGTCCATGTACAGAAAAAAATTGGTGGCTCATCCCAGTTACTAAGTGGGTGAACTAACCCTTATGAGTGGACCCTTCAGCTACAAAAAGCCTAAACCACCTGGGATCCACCTCCCGCTGAGGTCAGCTTCCAGCGTCTAGTGAGGGACGTCTGTGGACACATCAGCAGCTTGGCCTTGGCGCCATGGGGATCTCATGGGGCAACTGGGATCCACGATGAACAAAGCAAATTTTGAAAAGGGGAAGTCACCAATTCTAACCCCAAGCTGCCTGTGGCGATTTAGCTACAAACTATGAGGTCGCATGAGGTCGCATGAGTGAATAGAGATGGGAAACGATGAGTTAAAGCTGGACAATTGCGATTTAAACAAGCGCATGGTGATTGAATCACCACACATGGGGATGTTCAACAAACATGGATAAACCCAAAAATGATGCTTGAGCATGGATGGGTTTACGTTTAGACCACAGAGCAATCATCCAAAACTTGCGCTCTTCGGCAAACACCTCGCGGGTTGGTACCTGGAGAATCATCCAGACACGTCGATGATTTACACATCGTGGGTTTCCAGGTTTGGTAGAGGGAAGACGGTTTTCCTCACTTGGAAATGGCCATGATATTTTTGGGTTTCATGGTAGAATTCGGGGTGTATTTAAGGCCAACTAAATGATTTGTGGGTGAATATCACGGCAAATCGCAATTATGGTTCATGTATGTTCGTGAAAGACGATTCGGCATGTTTCAATGAGTCAGCTAGATTGACGGGCCCCCACTTATAAATGGGGCCCATTTCCAGTTCTGACACCCCATTTCCAGTTGGATTCCCCGTGTGTTTTTATACACCCTTATCGAAGGAAGTTTAGAAGTCAAACTTCCTTTAATATGGACAGATGCAGCAACAGTGGGGAGAGAAGTCAGAGAAGAGAACGAGTCAGAAGAGAAAAGAGTCAGAAGAGAAAGAGTCAGTAGAAAGAAGATCAAGGTGCGCGAAAAGGTAGAAAAGTCACGAAACACTGTGTTGCTTCCAATGATTTGTGGCTCCAGAGGGTCGAAAAGTAGGCTCGCTAAAGCGGCGGGTGCGGAGCCATGTGGCGGGATGAGAGAAAATTGCATGCCGTTGTGGCGCGAAGCAGGTCTGGAAGTGAAAATGCTAGAAACACCTCAGCGCCGCCACTTTTGCACGTTGAGAGATGTTGAAAAAGTGCGCGCCGTTGTGGCGCAAAGCACATTTGGAAGCCAAAAGTATTACAGTATATAAAAACTAACGGTATCGGACCACTTTTGCAAGTTGCGATGTCGAAAAAGTGTACGTCGTTGTAGCGCATTTCCAAGTAACACTGATAAAAACACCACATGTTCGGACCATTTTGGACGTTCAACGGTCAGTTTTCGTGGAAACTACATCAACAACTACAATTGCGGCTACACGGCTACAACTACAACTACAACTACACAACGCTATATTCAATTACAATTCCAACTACAAGTACACTACAAATACAACTACAACTGCACTGCAAATACAACTACAACTACACCACACTACAACTACACCTAGAACTAGAACTTGAAATACCACTACAACTATACACCACTAAAATACAGCTGCAGCGACAACTGCAACTAGAACTACAACAGCTCGACACTACACTACACTACAACTACAGCTACAGCTACACTACAACTACAGCTACAACTACACTACACTACAAGTACAGCTACAACTACAAGTACAGCTACAACTACAACTGCAGTTGCAGCTGCAACGGTACTACGCTACACTACACTATACTAGACTACAACTACATTACACTACACGAGATTGCCATGCACTACACTGCACTACACTACACTACACTACAATTACAACTGCCACAACTACACTACACTACAACTACAACTACAACGACAACTGCACGGCAACTTCAACAACTACACTACACTCCACTGCACTGCACTACGCTAAACTACAACTAATCTGCACTACAGTATATCAGATTACCGAGCACGACGCTACACTACAACTACAACTATAGCTAGAACAACAACTACAACTACAATTACAGCTTCAGCTACAACTGCAACTACAACTACAACTACACTAGACTACAAATACACTAGAGTACAACTACACTAGACTACAACTACAACTACATCTGCAAACACAGCTACAACCACAACTACTCCTACAATTACATTCCACCTACAACTACAACTACAACTGCAACAGCAACAGCAACAACTACACTACACTAGACTACAACTAAACTACACTACACTATGCTAGATTACCTTGCGCGACACTACACTACGCTACACTACAGCTACATCTACATCTACAACTAGAACTTCACCACAACTACACCTACAACTACAACTACCTACGCCTAGACCTACACCTACAAATGCAACTGCAGCTGCAACTGCAAGTACGACTGCAGTTGCAACTGCAACTACAACTACAGCTACAACTAAACTACAGCTACAACTACAACTGCAGTACAATTACAGCTACAACTACAGCTGCAACTACAGCTACAACTATACCATACCACACTAGAGATACATAGATAGACAGATAGATGCATAGAGGGAGAGATAGGGAGACACAGAGAGAAGGTGACAGAGAGAGTTAGAGCGCGAGAGAGAGAAAAAGAGAGAGAGAGACAGAGAGAGAGAGAGAGAGAGAGAGCGAGAGAGAGAGAGAGAGACGCAGAGCCTCAACCACCTTTCGGTCCATCAGTTGGTTCGCCCGACCATGCATGCACCACAGCAGTTCACATCTCCTATAGGTTTCCTATCTTTGAAACTTCTGCCGCCGCCTTGTGCGGTACTACTGTTATAAATATTTGGTGAACACCAACTTTTACTTGGTCTAATCCCCCGCATTTCTTTCAGGATGACCTCTATTGTTTCTAATTTTCCCGTTTATATTTGGCGTATGGTCTCATACCAGGTTTTGTAGCTTAGAAGGCCCACTAAGTAGTGCTCATTCAGGCGCAGTAGTTTTTTTTTCTTAGCCATTTAGGTAACCAATGCATAAATCTTCTCGCCGTTGATTTTGTCGGATCATCCCCTTGATGGCCGGCTTCAATGGAGAATGCTTTTGGCTATCTAAGATAGAAGAGCTTCAATTTGCATACTTTACCTCATTTGTCACCAGTTGTACTTGTATGGGGTTTTCCCTGCTGCCATCTTTGGAGCATCTACCAAGTGATTAGCTTCAATGTACCTCATCTATCACTCATCTTTATGGTGTTTTTCGATGATTCTAGGACTAATTTATGCACATCTACTTTTTTTTAGCTTCCAATCCACCAATTTTTCCCCTGCAGGTGGCGCCATTCGCATGGAGGCACAGGCCCTGCTGTGCTTGCAGGAAGCGAGCGAGGCGGGTGGATAGCTCTGGAGATCTCATGATGGCGGGTTTCTTGGCGATATGTATCTGCTATATATTTGACATAGCATAACATAGCATAGCAAAGCATAACATGATATTTAAATAAGTACATATTTTACAAGCCTAGTAATGATAGCAGTACTAAAATTGATAATAAAAATGATAATAATGTATGATAATATGTATGTATGTATGTATATATATAGGGAGTTCTTGAAATGGGGGGTCCTCAAGTCACCCTAGGTTTCAATACTAATATAATCGAATGGCTTGGGCGATAAAAATGGGTAACGCCATTTTTGGAAAGCTCCATATAGGTATCACCACAGGTATCACCATAGGAACCACCATAGGTATCACCATATATCTGTGTATGTTATTTCATGGCGATACATCTGTTGGTGATAAATAAGAGATATAGCATATTATATCAATATATATATATACATGGTCACACACACCACCAGAACCCCCCCCGAAGGTATATTTCATATCTTTGTTAGCATCGTCTGCTTCACCTCATTGTCTGGTTCAAATGGGGACTCTTTGGGGAGAGGCCCCATGGAGAAAATCAAAAAAAAATAAAAACATTTCGAGAAAACCAAAAAAACAAAAAAAAAACACACACAAAAAAAAACAAAATTTGGGGATTCTTTGGGGAGAGGCCCCATGGAGAAAACAAAAAAAAAAACTCGAGAAAACCAAAAAAAATTAAAAAATAAAAACAATATTTGGGGACTCTTTGGGGGGACGCCCCATGGAGAATAAAAAAATAAAAAAACCTGGAGAAAACAAAAAAAAAACAAAAAAACAAAAAAAACAATATTTGGTGACTCTTTGGGGAGAGGCCCCAGGGAGAAAACCCAAAAAAACAAAAAAAACTCGAGAAAACACAAAAAAGCAAAAATAAAAACAATATTTGGGGACTCTCGGCTGGACCCCCCTATCCACCAAGACCTCTGGATTTTTTTTTGGTTTTCTCGAGTTTTTTTTGGTTTTCCAACTTTCTGATTCCCAAGACCTCTGGAAAATTGTATTTCGCTTCTCTATTTGATTTGCCGGCGCACTTGGCCAAGCCAATTGCTTCTCTTGCGCCAGCTCCTGAGTTATCGGCAACCCAGCGACAATCATGCTTCACATACTTTGCTTCATCCGTCTATCCACTGTGAGTTTTATTCTTCTTAGGTGGGACCCATCAGCCATGAACAGTGAGCACGACAAGAACATTGTCGAGCATCTTGGGCCCAAAAAATAACGTTATACTGTTTAAAGTCTAAACTGTTCGATGAGTCACAGGACTGTTTCCAGAAAGTCTTCCGGAACATAATACAAAAAAATGCTGACTAACACCGTCTGATGTCAAAATCATGTTGTCATCAAGATCTTCCTCAACAAAAACTCATTCTTCAAAATCTAACCACCCAGGTCTGACGAAGATGTGTGGATGGACGTCGACGGCGGGGACGATGCTCCAGAGACGCCTCCACAAGAGCATCTTGACTAGACAAGGATGTTGCATTACATCATGTGGCTGTCAATGTGTAAGTAAATAAAAAGCGTTGTGTACACAAGGGCTTCCAAACCTGGTTATTCACATTCACATCATGCCTAGGCCTGAGGAGTCTGAGTGGGAAGATGTTCCGGGATTCGACGCCGCTCCTGAGACACCGCCTCACATGACTGGCATATGGCTGCCAGGGGGTGTACCTGTACCGGTGACTCCTCCGGAATTGTTCGTACCAATGACCTCGCCCGAACTGTTTCTTACTGATGCCACCCCATTGCTCGCGCCGTGGACGCCTTTAGGACCACCCCCCCGGACTCCGCCTGAGGCGTTCCGTTATCGGTGGGGCGGTGCGTGAGAGACATATTGGAACACAGAACGTCCATCGGAACTAATATCTTGTTTGTAAAATTAATCTACTGGACAATTTTCAAGTATGTATGTATCTCACGTATCTCCAGCTGCTGCACGCACACTGTTGCAGTATTGCTTTAAAAATATGCTTTGCTGCAAGTGCAGGGTCTTGTCAAAACAAATGCTTAGAAAATAAGGCCACATTAAATGATTTATTCTTATAATGGTAGCCAAAAATTACATGCTACATTACATGGCTTTCATTGTATATGAAATCTCTATATATATATATATATATATATATATATTGTCACATAGTATATTGTTATAGATTGCAATATACATTTTTTTATATGTACGTAGCAGTGCTATATTATATTTGAGTATACATATGCAGTAAAATAAGATATTATATTAATACATTTATTTATTCAGTAATTTAACGTATTATACCAATATATGGTAGTCCAACATATTTTTTAAATATGTATATATATATATAAAGACTAAAGAGTAATACCATTTATTATTCTAATATATTTCGTAAATAATATACTTATATGCATCTAGTAAAGTAGTTTTTTTACTACTATATATAAAGTGTAAAACATCATAATATGTATATATATATAGTATTAAACATATTTTTCTTATATATATACATAACTATAGAGTAATATAATATATCAAATTGACATTTTTATATATATCAAAATAGCATTTTGATATGAAGATAGAAATATATCATGAAATAATATTATCCTATATAAAATGCAAACGGTCAACGCAGTTGATAGTGCCTTAAATCAACAAGCAAAGGAAAGATCTTGTGCAAAAAAAGCCTTGCCCTTCGTGTATCAAACTGTGATGCTTGCATCCTGTTTTCTTGCAACCGCATGACCAACACCTTGCCTTTATGCCCTGCTCACTTGAGTTTGTACTTTGCGAAGCCCGCAATTGATTTAACATCTTTCTTTCCGGCTCTTGGAACAACCGTTTCCAAACCATTCTTGCCTTGTGCAGCCAAACAAGGTTTAAATAAACACAGCTTACTTTCCACACCGTTGAACCAACCTTTGATCGGCTGTTGGAAAACACCTTTCCAAACCGTGTATTATCAAAAATGAACAAGCGAGATGTGCGGTGAGAACTTGCGATGGTTTTCAGTCAAACGATTTTGGACTCAAACCTCAACGACCAAACTTTCTTGAAGTTGCAGTTGAACATGATGCAGTCAGTCAATTTGGTATCAAGCATGTACTGTGCAGTGTGACCTGATTGTTTTTTCTCAAGTAACATTTTCCATGTCAAGTAGGCCTGTCCACCCCCTGGGAGCTCTCCAGCCTCAAACTCGGCTCGCTCTTGAAGTTTTTGGCAAGTCATGCAGGCCTCTAAAGATGTCACTCTTAGCCGCCACGACTAGTATGGCCTTACAGTATCTCGGTGCTCGTGGCGAGGGCACTTCAGAGCAGACGGCTGAACGCATTGAATGTTTTGAGACAATCCTGAACACGGACGGCAATGTGGTCCACCCAGCATCATATCAATTTCAAATTGTAGGGGTCTGTCATTGGTGAACAAAGGGATCCACCACAAACTGTAAAAAAAGTTGATGGGTACAATGGTGATCATCCCTGGAAGGTTTGCTGGCGATGCAAGGCAACGAAGGGTACCCATGATGTAAGTTGGTGCTACAGCAATATCTGTGAAACTGCTGCTTGGAGAGCTACCCTCTTATTTCGATGAATGCATTTCTTATGAGTGTGATTGCCATGGGGCATCAAGGTGCACCATTTTTATCCCCTTGCAGTGGGATGATTCAGAATTAGGACTATGATCAGTTTGATGCGTTGAGGTACCTGCATCCAGTAAGAGATAGGCATGGACCTGGATGAGAAGGGCCCGCAGAGCAGTCTCCGTGCGAAAACGAATAAGAGCGAGCGGCCCAATGCAACGGAGAAGGCGCATTGAGAACCGGTGGGTGGTCAGCAAAGTTTCCGCAACTGAGTTCATAGATCTTTTATAGTTCCATGATTTTCATAGGTCTTGGTCTCGTTCTGTTTGGTGCGAGTTCCATGAAATCACTGCAGACGAGGAAGACAGAAAAAGTGCTAGTTGTATCTGGTTGTGGTCTTTGCGGTCGTCATGGTGGTCCGGTCCTTTGTTTTCTCTTCGCATCTTTGATCAGCACGAGAGTCAAGTCCATCAAAGCCCGCTCCAGGCAGCAAAAAAGGACAGTCGACCTGCTCAAAGATCTCAAAAGACAAAAGATGCCCCAATTCTGCAGACTTGCGGCAGACCGCGTTTTATTCAGTAAGTCTTTGGTTTATGGTCCGCGTTGTCCAATGTGATTTACATCTTCGAGTGTATGTGCTTCCTGACCAAGCACCTGATACACTGCTTCACCTGGCACTTCCTCATGAACCAGGCCGTTTGTCTGTATGTTTGCAACATTCAGCCTGCCATCCAGGCCTTTGAACGTTTTTTCGATGTGCGCCTTGAGTCAGATTTGCATAAAGCAGCAGCTGAGATGCTGCTGGACACCAAACTTTTGCTCCCGACTGTTTCCGAATGTTTCCGACTGTTTCAATTTCTCTGGAAGGCCGCTTTGGTTGGTTTCTGACTGGTGGCCCATGTGATGGCCTTTTTGCGGAGGCACTGCCAGCTCGCAATGAGAAAATGACTTGTACAGATGCCAAAGCGAAGACCACAGCGAAGAGTACAGAAGGACTGCATCAGGCCAGATGTTCTGTGGTTTTCTTGTTTTTTTGATGTGTTTCAGGTTGAAACCTTCATGAGTTTTGAACAAAGCCTGTCATGGCCTATGATGCGGAACGTGTGCAGATCTTGGTAGTATGATTTATTGCTGTGCTCTAGTTAGACTGCCATGTCACATCACGTAATCGAACATCTTGCAGGCCTTGACAGATGTAAAGGGGTGGTATTTTGACAATTTTTGCCTCTCCCCCCTTCAGGTCCCGGAGGACTTTCGGGACCAGATGCGCATAGATGCGTTTAAACTTCGGGGGTTCAATCCCCCATCCTTTTTGACACTGCTCACCTTTTCATGGTCATCACAATCATCCACAGTCATCTTCGCCATCCTCATCATCATTTCCTTCATCAACATCCTGATCGCCACCCTCAGCCTCATCACCTTCATCCTCAAAAATCACAACTTCAACACTTTTCCTTGCGACCCTTCTGCACACAGGTAGCTCGAAATGATGCATTTTCACTTTGAGACCCAATATACCCTAAAAAGCCCAAATTCCCAAGACCTCGTGAAATTTAACAATATATCAGGATGGGGTCGGTTCGTTTCGTTTCGTTTCGTTTTCGTTTTCCAGGAACTGGATGTTTGGCGTTTCGTTTCGTGGGAGCCTACGGTTCGGTTCGTTTCGCAGAGATGATCGGTTCGTTTCGTTTCGTTTCGTTTCCGTTTCACAGACGGTTTGTGACTTCAGTGAATTTGCATGAGGAAAAAATACTATGTTGGAGACGAGCTTGCGGTTCAGGAGGATTGGAAAGGATAGTAGATGTGAGAGTTTGTAAGAGCAATGTCTAAAATGCTGCCTCAACATCTTGCTCCCCCGGCGTTGGCAGCAAACCCCGTTGACGTTTTTGTTTTATTAACGACTCGGCGGATTTGCTTTTTCCAGGGTGTGGAAAAGGCAAACGGTGTTCTCGGGGGGGTGTGCAGTTTGCCACTCTGTACATGAACCTTAAAATTGAAAGACTTGGACATGGAAACAATTCCATGCATCAATTTTGGAGCCTAAGCCTAAAATATCTAGACTCTAGACCGTTACTCTTTCCTGTCTCTCTCCTCTCTCCGTTTTCCCCTTTTTTCTCTTCAGCAGCCAAACTGATTTTTGCACATGCACATGTGGCAAGGAAAATCGCCGGACGAACTCGGGCAAAGAAGCCTGTGGAAGAGTAAATGGAAAATAAGCAGATGCCTGCGGTTCTCAACCGGTTTGCAACCGGTTCGTGTTTGCGGTTGGCACTCCAAACGGTTCGGTTTCCCACCGGTTGGGTTCGGTTTGTGACTATGAAATATATGAACGGTTCCGGTTCGGTTCCTATGTTTCCGGTTCCTTTCGCGGTTCGCGGTTCGGTTCCAGAACCACGCTGTATATATATATATATAGATAGAAATATATGTAAATATGTATGTATGTATGTATGTATGTATGTATATATATATAGATATACATATATGTATATATATATTTACAAAGCATATATATATATATAGATACACATGTATTTGCAAATGCAAACGCACATTCACACACACATATATATACATATAATATATACACATGTATGTTCATATACACATAAAAAATCAATATATATATATACACGTATAGTTTTTATAGACATAATATATATATATATATATATATATTTATACATATACATATATATATACATACATATGTTTACTTATATATATATGAATACATGTTAAATTATACATACACAGATATTTACATACATTTGCATTTACATACATATACATTTAAACATATATACAATATACAAATATACATTTCTTGATACACATACATATATGTATGTATACATACATATATGTATATATATATATATACATATGTATATATACATACACATATGTATATTTACATACATATATGTATATTAATACTATTCATATACAATACATATATATATATATGTATTTTTCATGTACACATACATTCACACATACGTATATATATATATATATACATGCATGCATGCATGCATGCACACATCCAGCCATCCATACAAACATACATACATACATGCATGCATACATACATGCATACATACATACATACATATTTACACACACACATACACACACACACACACATATATATATATATATACACATATTATATATATATATCCCTTGGCCCCATGGCCGTCTCCAGGCCTTTCTCTGCGGCCTCTTCGAAGACGCCTCGCTCTTTGCCCAGCATGGGCGTCCGGGGACTTAATGGGATTCGATACCATTTGGATGGGATTCAGTACGATTTCAATGTTTTTGTATGGATCATCACTAGGGATTTGATGGGATTTGACGGGGATAGAACTGGATATGATGGGGTGTCTGAAAGTAGGGTATCCCGTCCAATAATTTGTTGGTTGGATTCTGCGGATACCTATGTAACAACTGTAGGAACAATATGTGGTGCTCTCAAAATTTAGAATTCGGAAATCCATGAACATCCAAGGGAAAAGACACATACTGCACCTCATAACACGTTACCTAAGGGTGATCACCCCAGTGAAGAGACAACTTGACAATGGGTTTGCACCAAATAGGGTACCCCCAAAAATGAAATAGCTTAAATTTAGACAATCATTTTCTACATTTATTGGCGGGACCCATCCACATTTTGCGGCAGCTTCCGGTTGGTTTCTTCACAAGGCCGCGTCACGGTGATGAAGCGTGATTTGCAGTTGTCGGGTGGCCCATTGTTTTGGGCTAGGTTGGCTGTAGGGAATCGTAGATGGCAGTGGCTGGCTTTTATGTGGGATCCACAACAATAAACCATCCAATGCTACCAACATTTACCAAACATTGAGGTGCGACAATTCGTCCCTGGGGGTATACCCAATTTTAGAAACCGTAAGTCGGGGATGCTTCATAATTGCCGTGGCCAGGATATCATGAATTTTGGTGTGAAATCAATTTAGAAATTATATGGTTGCATCATATTATCCCATGTTTGTGGTTTGACCTCTCCTTTTCTTGGAGTTTTCAATCATCCATATTTTTGAGGTGCTAAATCACATGTTTGATGATTTTTGATGATGTTTGCCGATCGCCCTGGATTTTTTTGGGGTTTGTGGCTTCAACAAGTCCAACATATGAGCCATGGTTCAGGTCTCGCAAGATCCGGGGAAGCGAAGAAGCAGGAGATCAGCTGGGTTCGATTCTTTAAGTATGTGACTGTATATGACTGTGGGTATGTAATGTAAAAAACATATACCAATTTTGAAATACTATATGTAGATAAATACACATATATATCATATATATATACACTGTATATACATTCATGGTACCCAGCTAAGTCACATCAAATCACTATTTCTTGCAGACGATCCAAAGTTGGCCATGATTCTGAGAACGCTTGGGAGGAAGGATGACACTGGACAACATTTAGAGCAAACCTCGTGGAGTAGTGTTGCTTGACCGGTATATATATATGTATACTGTAAATATAACTATGATATTTGCAAGAATGCTCTTGTATTTACACATTAAATTTACACTATATACGCACAATACATACAGTATATACAGTACATATAGTATATACAGTATATACATATATACATATTATACATGTATACATATTATACATATAGTACATATTATACATACAAATATACAAATATACAAATATACAAATATACATATATACATATATACATATATACATATATATATATTTATACAAATCTACATATGTACATATGTATATTTACATATATACATATATACATATATACGTATATACATATATACATATATACATATATACATATATACATATATACATATATGCATATATACATATATACATATGTCAATTGGATAGCATTGCCCCACCCGGGGCCAGTCACGCAGTTGGCTCCTTTTCTCAGCCGAAAGGGTCCTTCGAATGTCAACCTGTGAATGCACTGCCCAGGGATGAAAGTGGTTCATGCAATTAACATCCCTCTTAAACTCTTAAATTCAAAAATTCCCAAGGGTGTTCATCACCCCCTTCATTGGCATCCGGCCAATGGTAATAAAGATCTCAACACCAGCTGGTCTACTTCAGCTTGCGAACTTCCGTGGAACCAGGATAGTACCCGAAGGAGGGAACAGCCGATTGCTCGTCATTGCTCGTCTGTCATGCGTTCTCCAGCGGCTTTCAGATAATCACTCAAGTCCTTGACTTTGGCAGAAATCTGAGGATTCTTGCGCACCCAGCACAGGTAGTTCAGCATCTCGGTGGAGGTTTTAGCTTTCTGCACCAGCTCGCTGTAGCTGACATTGCGTTTCTCTACCTTCGGCAACGTGCACACTGTGCGACCCCAGGTGGGGAGGTCAGGGATTCCTTCAGGGGCTTTGATTCCCCGAATGATGACCTCTACTCCATTCACCTGGGTATTCTGATCGCTGCCACCAGTCTCATCCAAGTCAGCGATCACTTGGAACTCATCAGGCTCAGAGAGATCATCACCACGGCGCTTCGAAGCATCGCTCATAGACGAGCAGCCAGAAGGGACCATAATCTGACGCAAGGCTTCTTGGAGCACACCTTGCTCACTGAGAGATCTGAGCAGCTGCAAGGCCTCTTCGGGAACAGCTGCGACTTTCATGACTTTGCGAGACATTGCTCTATCCGGTCAAAACTTCACCAAAAACGTGCAAAAAGTGTTGGGCAGATGCAAACCAGAAATGGATTGTGGGACACTGGCTTTGAGAAAAACACTGCGCTTACGCAACAAAATTGTGAATGCAAAACTGAGGATTGTACACTGCATTTCCAGCGATTCACCTACTTTGCAGCCCACGGCAAGATCAACATCTTACACGCAAAGTGAGGCATAGAATCATCTGGGGAATATTTAACCACTTAATTAGTTGGCTTTTCGGAGTCTGTGTTGGCTTTCTTCGGCTTCTTGTGCTTGACGAACTCGATTGCGAAATTCTCTGTGTTTCTTTTTCATGGCAAGAACACTGGCTTCATCATTCAACTGATATTCGCCGATGTCTAGCGCAGCTCGGAGCAAGTCCGATGGATCCATTTTGTCTTTGGTCAGGCAGTCCGCCAGTTGCAGGTGCGTTGGTACCCATCTGATGGACAGAGTGGTGCGGCCCAAACATTGTTTGATGATCGCCAAATCGATGGCCACTCGCTTGTCATCACACTTGGTTACTGAGGACAGGGACGTGATGTGATCGAACAAACTTTTACAGTCAGTTATACCTATAATCGGAGTGCAAAAGATTTTGGAGCGGAGTGACGGCTGATCGGCAATCTTGGCTACATCTCTCAAATCAAAAGATCCTTGCTTGGCCTCGGTGACCATTAGAGCGATCCACTCAGCCAAGGAACTTGCCTGTGAAAACACCTGTGCCTCTGCCCCCAAAGTGGAAGCAACAACTCGTGGGAGCCTCATAGATTTCCACACCGCAGGAGACCATGGTGACGCTTCGTTCTTGTCTAATGACTTGTTCACAAAGCTAATCACAAAACCCCCTTGGGTGGACGTGGCACCAGAGTTGGCAAACCCAGCATCGGAGTGAAAACACACTGCAAGAAGATCCCAAGGAATGTACTTGACTGTGATTCCAACTTCTGAATATTGCTTGGCACGGTGAACCAACTGATTGGCAAACAACAAATCCTTTACCTTGGGCTCTGGGAAGCACTGTTGGCTAAAGGACGTCTGCGTGCAGAGATCTGGTCGGCTCTGGCTTGAGAGCCAATTCGCTTTTCCATTGATTGCCCTGAGAGCTGCAACCTCCCGGTCGTTGGCTGGTGAGTCTTTGTTCTTCAGTCGATCTTTGGAAACAGAAATTGGACGTAAATGGCGAGCATATTCTTGCTGGTGATACCGAATTTCAAAGGTCTTGGGACACTGCTGAAATTGAATACCACAGAACTCCCCACTGCCGATTCTCCACTTCCGATAGGGATACCTTGCCTTCAATTTGCGAACAGCTTCTTCATACATCGGTCCATCTCCGGCCACTATGGTATCATCTACATGAGCCGCTAAAACCCCTTGAAGTTCTCCATCTGGACCACGCAAGAAAAACAAACAGCTGTCAAATTGGGATCTACTCCAACCATGATCTTGGACACTGGAACTGAATTCCTGATACCAGTTGAAAGGAGCATCATTTGAGCCATAGACATTCCCAGTTACTTCAATAATGTCAGATGGATCCAAACCGGGCACTCCACCGCATGGCTGACGGGCAAACAGCGGTCTGAAACGACTATTCAGAGGACCGGCTTCAAGGAAAGCTCCCTTAATGTCCCCAAGGCATAGGGTCCATCGTTTGGACACAATGATCTGAAGGACGAGAGCTCTGGCAACTTGACTAAGTGTGGGGCTATGACACAAACCACTGTTAATTTTGTCTTTGAAGTCAGGGTCTGAATGGCCTTGCAAACACCATCTTGCTTTTGTGCGAGTGCCCTCTTCCTCAGTCTTGCGGGTGCAGACAAATCGGCTACCGATGAAACGATCAGGGTGCTTGGCAGCTAGTCTCTTTGCGTCGGCTCCTTTCCAAATTTTGATGGCACCCTTCCCAAGCAAAGTTTCCCACTCAGTGACCTTAGCCTTGTCTATGTCTTGCTGAACATCAGGTGGGTTACCTACTGCAGGAAGTTCTTTCTGCATCTTCTTTTGGAGGAATGACGCCAAAAGAGCATCAGCTGTACACACTGGAACTTTGGAATCCACTTCAACGGACAAGACTTCGTCACATGTAAGGGCGTCCTCCCTCGGTGAAGTGGTCCTAATCCTACTACCAGGCCCCTCTTGAACGTCGCGGCTGGCCTCTCGTTTATGGCCTGCAGATCTTGGACTGCTGGACTGTTCATTGGAAGCGGGACCATTTGCTGGACTGTCAGACACCTGGGGAATCAAAGATGGCACGATCTCCTGCATCATTTCAGCAAAATCTTCATACTGGCTACCATCAGGTCGAAACATAGGATCTTGGGAAGACTTGGACCTATGTCTTATTCTTACGGGACCATATTCACTTGAAGAAATGTGCTTATTGGGTTCCCCAGGCTGTGACAGGTTCGGCTCGGCACGTTCGGGCGTGATCTTGGATCCGGTCGGATCTGGCATGCTTTCATCTTCTGGAACGATTGGCATTGGCTCTTTCTGGGATCGTACGAGCTCTCCTGCTGACATTGCAGACCTACTTACTGCTTCTTGGACAGCGTCATGCGCACACTCAGGTTGTGGTGGATTGTCAAGAGGAACCAGATCTTCAAACTGTGATTTCGGAAACTGGCCTCGTTCCAAAAGGTGTCTGATGCCTAGCAACTCATTTGACTGGGCATCGTCTGCAATGACTCGTTCTTCCGACGAGGCAAGCCGCAGTTGCTCTGGAGCACATCGGATCACGTTCTTCCTATGTGCGACAATCCAGTTGCGACCTATTGTTCCCAACAACATACCAGCCCCACACCATTGACCCCCTTTGATAAGCTTACCCTGAACCCACTTCTGTGACCTCCAATAGTAAACCCAATCTCCAGACTGAAATGGTCTAGATGGTCTAGGACGTGCTCGGAGTGCTGCACGAAGTGCACTGCTATCCTGGCATGCCAACACGGCTTGTCTGGCATTCTGTCGAATTTGGTTGCTACGGGCATACCCATCGTGGAGTGCTATGGCTTCCGAGGCAACAACGTCAGGGTCTTCTTGAAGGAGATCGCTTGGGATTCTGGGATTCCTACCAAAAACCAGTTGGTATGGACTTGTTCCGGTGACATTGATGAGGCTGTTCTTCGCAGTCTGAGTTTGTATGATACATTCTGCAAATTCTTCTTGGGAAGTAGGCGCAACATCAAAAATGACCTTGTCCAATATTTGAGAAAACCAACCCCCATGTCGTTCCACTTTGCCCAGCTGCCAATGCGCATCCCCTGCTGTGGCATGCAAGGTGATGCCTCGTGCCTCACAAAACTCGGACATTGCCTGACTGATATTTGGTTGAGCAGGATCCACACACAAAGCTTTCGGTGGTCCGGCCCATGCGATCCAGCTATCTTGCAAAACCTTCTTGATCAGGTCTGAACTTTCCTTGGTGTAGATAGGGATCACCATTTGAAAACCAGTGCCATAGTCAACAATGTTGATACATGCAACACGCTGATTGATCTTCCATCCACTAACATACTTGACATCCAGTCCAATCTGATCGTTAAAGGCCAGCGGAGATGGCACATTTGCTGGCAACGCAGGGGAGGGTGCACGATGATTCAAACATGTAGTGCACTCTAACGTCTTGGCGCACTCAATTGCTTCCGAGGAAGCTTTGCTATGACGCAGAATCCTGATCAGCTGTTCAGTGGAAGGGTGTCCCAAATTTTGATGAAGTCTCTGCAACGTTCTGAGTAGTGGTGAGTTCTGCTGACTCGGTGGTTCTGCGCTGGGTTCTACTGCTACCGGCACATCCGCATCATGGTCTTCAAGACCTACTGTTTCACCAGCGAGGCATGCAAGTTCGGCTTCAACAAAACGGGCTTCAGCTTCAAGAGGATGAGGTTTATGCAAAAGGGCATCATACATGGTTCGCACAAAACCCTGGGTATATGCCGCACAGTAGTCACTCACTAACTGACCAGTTTTGAGCTTCCCCTCTATCCTACGATGCTGATGCAAACCATCACACGTACGAACATGTTGAGCCAATGAACGAGATGCCATCAAACCAGTTGACTTACGGATCTTCAGCTCAGTCTCTGGGCACTTGAGTCCATGCTGGCACATGTCAGTCTTGATCACTCCATATTTCTTGCACAAGATTTCAAACTCTGGGTCATTCCAGGTGCTTGCACCCCATGGGTGTTCAAACATGAACTCACCGCCCCTTTGAACCTGCTTCTCAATCTGCTGGCGAGAGAACTTCAGTCGGGCTCGATTCTCGTGCAGCAGTTTGGCACGTTCCAGCGGTGTCCTGTAGCATGAATTGAGATGTTCCCAACCCCCAGAGTATGTGCATGGTGGGCAAACGATCAAAAGTTCAGGACAGAGTTCATCCAGGAGGGCATCTACCTTACGTTGTGTCAGTGGGTTCAAGAGATTCCAACCCTGTTTCAGGTCAAAGGCAATGCCTTGTTGGCCACGCTTCTGAGCCTCTAGAGAAAATCTGGGTGGTGAAAACAACTCAGCAACAGCAATCTGAGATTTCTCATGTTGGGCGGTGCTCTTCATTTGGGCAAGAAGGCATCTGCATTCTTTATTCTTCAGGGTGACCTTTCTTCGGTTGGGATTCTTAGGACTACCCACTGAGTTATTAATCTTAGGGTTATCCCCAGGATTACCTACTTCAGGTTTACCTACATCATCAGGCTTAGAGATAGGCACCTGGTCCTCAGCTTTGGGAAAGTCGAGGAGGTTCAGCAGGACTTGACCCGCCGGATTGCAGTGCATCTTCACTTGAACCGCACCATCCAGAACTGTGAGAAGCCCTTCTTTGAAATCCAGGTGCATTCCCAACTTCTGCAACGTAGGCCTACCCAATAGGAGAGGTGCTTGACCTTTGATGATTGCTGCTTCGATCAATCCATTCTTGCCACCAATCCCCACAGGTATCATTGCAGTGACCTCAGATTGCTCAATTGCACCATTGCCAAAACGAAACACATTGGCCTTGGAGATGCGTTGAGCAGGAGGGCGACGGTGTGTCGCGAGCATGGCTTCTACCTGTTCCAGGGTCTGTTCCCCAATCAACGTTTTCCCACATCCAGTGTCCACCACGCCAAAACCTGGCGAGGAAATCAAGCCGGCTGCCAGGCTGTCTTGGACTTCGACCACTTCGGCAGCACCTATGAAGGTGATGTCCGGATCTTCAACTTCCACGTAGCTGACACCAGTTGCATGTTGAGCTGACGAACTTCCAGAAACCTCGTTCCCTGACGGTGCACTGCGGCATTCACGAGCCCAATGACCCAGCTTCCCACAGCGCCTGCAGCGTGTTCTCTTCTTGAGTTCGTCAACTTCGGAGCGAAAGTTTCTCCGGCCGCCAGTTGAAACACCAGAGGAAGAACTCTTGGTGAATCGTCTGGCTTGATTCACCTTGGCAATCTCAGTACGGCGCTCTTTCCAGCTCACGGCCAAAGCCTCTGCAGCCTCGCCCTCAGACAGTTCAATATCCTCTCCAGCGTTGACTTGTGAGTGATCTGCCAGAAAAGACTGAACATCGTCATATCGATCGTCATCCGAGGCCCCCTGAGACAGTGGTTCCTCATCTACAGCTAAAGCTCCGATGGGTTTCTTGGCTCTGGTTCCTGCTTTGTACATCGGGAAACATGACCTGAAGGCCTTGGAGACATCATCAAAATCCAAACTGCCCTGAGTCTTCGCCTTGATGATGGCCTTCTGCTCCTCCGACAAACCTGCGCAGTTCAGAGTGATCCATCCACGTGCTGTGGCGGGAAAATCAGTGTTGGCCCGACGTTTGCACTTGTCAAAAGTCTCGCGAACTCGAGCCGTCCACTGCTTTGCTGTTTCACCCTCTGTTGCAGCTAAAGCGAACACTTCGCCCAGAGCTTCCCCCATCATGTCTGTAGGCTCCTTCTCCGGAAACCGATCATGTAGAACCTTCCACAGCTCGGCATCGCCACCTTCAACTGCTAGACTATCTAGGGTCAGGTGTTCCACTGCTTCCCACGCTGACCCATCCAGCAACGTGTAAATCCAGGGCGCCTTCTGCATCGGAGACAGGTCTTTCATTGTCATCATCTTTGCCAGTGCCCAGCTCTTCCATTGGCGAAGAGCTTTACCTGGGTCTTCCACGTCACCGTGAAACCTCTTCAGGCCACGGTCTCCTGCTTCCGCCATGGCACGTCACCTCACCAGCCCCGGGTGAGGCTCCGCTACCAATGTCAATTGGATAGCATTGCCCCACCCGGGGCCAGTCACGCAGTTGGCTCCTTTTCTCAGCCGAAAGGGTCCTTCGAATGTCAACCTGTGAATGCACTGCCCAGGGATGAAAGTGGTTCATGCAATTAGCACATATATACATATGTACATATGTACATATGCACATATGTACATATATACATATATACATATATACATATATACATATATACATATATACATATGTACATATGTACATATATACATATATGCATATATGCATATTTACATATATACATATATACATATATACATATATACATATATACATATATACATATATACATATATACATATATGCATCTATGCATATATACATATATACATATATACATATATACATATATACATATATACATATGTACATATGTACATATGTACATATATACATATAAACATATATACATATATGCATATATGCATATTTAAATATATACATATATACATATGTACATATATACACCACACATATCTACTCTATATATAATATGAATGATTATGAACAATTTTGTTCTCTTTATGGAATGGTGAAGCTTGGAGGACGCCACCAGTCACCATGTCCTGCCAGGATCGAAGAAGTGGGAAGGCAACAACCGACATCGGTTTCGGCATTGCGTTCCTTTGGACCACCTTTGTGATGCGCTCAACCATCAGATAGTCACTATTGTCTGATCTAATCCAATTTATTTGTGTCTAGTTGTGTCAAAAAAAAGGATCCCCTAATCATTTCCATGTCTCTATGTTTTTATATCATCCACCTGTCTTTCTATCTGTCTATTTATTTTTCCATAATCCTCAAACAATCAAGTCTCCCTGCAGGCGCCAAAGATGATCAGGAACCAGAGCCTTTGCAAGAGGCTTGAAATTTCTCCCGACAAATCCAAAATGAGGAGTGACCAAAATTATTGATGATTAGATCGCAAGTTCTGGATATTTATCGCAAGCCACCTGTTTTTGTTGATGTTTAATAGTGGGTACATTGCATAATATGAGCCACTGTATGGGAAACCCGATCCTGGATTGTGCCGATCTCATGACATAGCAACTCTGGAACACGTAATGCGAATGGTGAAGAAACACAATTTCTTGCGAGTCTTTATGGAGTAGCCGCTGTCGAGAGACAAAGGACCAACACAAGTTGCTGCCGATAGGTCCCTGATAGGTTGCTCGGAGGTGACTTGACCTGACTCAAGCCGGGGCCAGGTCAAGTCGTCGCCTTCAGGCCCTTCAGGCCCTTCAGGCCCTTCAGGCATCAAAGCATAGGTCGAACAGGAGCTGATGCCGAAACAATCGCGGCCGGCTTGGAAGGCCCCTCCATACCTTCGAAGAGGTTTTGTTTGGCCGCAATGCTCAAGGATGCTCAAGGTATCCAGCTGGTGATATGTATATCTTATATGTTGCATTCTACCCTTTAGTATTGTATAGCATTGAAGTGAATTGAAGTGTACTGCAGTATATTTTAGTGCATTGTATTGTATTGTACGGTACTAACCCATTGGTACCCGCTTCAATAGGATTTCTAAAAAAAACTGATGCTGTATGTGCATATGTATGTGCAATGTTGAAAACTCGGGTTGATATACTCATATGAAATAATGGTCAAAACCTGCTGAAAAATCGGAGTCTATACACCCAAATTTTGCAGAATTTGAATGACCATATCCCATATTTGGATATCCCACTTGTATGGTCACTGGCATACATAGACCTGGACGAAATATAAGGACCTCACGTCGTGACGTCACTGGAATCACTCCAAAGGGCAGTATTTCAGGTCAGTAATATCATTTACCCAGATATGGTCACCATTTTCAGAAACACCCATATATATATAAACATGTAGATATATAATCACCAACCCTTTAAGGCTACTTTTCAGGGGGACCATACCAAAATGATAAAATGTAAGATACATTTTTTGGGACCCCCCCTTAAATGTAAATTTGGTCACTGAACGTCCCCCAGGTATCGTTTTTGTGGGGAGGGTCGTCAAAATACCTTCAAAATGTAAGCTTACATTTTCAAGGCCCCCCTCAAAAACACCTTGAAACATGTAGCTTACATTTTGGGTACGCCCCCTTTTTAAAGGGTGGTGATGATATAATGTATATATATATATATGTATATATATATATATACATACGTATACGTATACGTATATCTACATATAGACGTCCTTATGAATCAATACACAATTTCCGGTGAGAGCCTTCCTGCCTCGTGCCATTGCGAACATGAAGAATTTTCAGGGACCGGACAATGTGAGCATTGCGTTAGATTGGTCATTGGGTCAAATTTGGGGTACAACAAGCTATATGCATACATAAATGTCAAATATGCATTCATCAACAAAACATGGATTCAATCGACAAAAAGTCGTCGATTGGGCCAACATACGGATATAATCAGCAACATAAGATGAAGGTTAAAGGGGTAAACCATAAAGAAAGAAATCCTAGAATTTAGCTGCAAAAACATCAACTATGACTTTTCCATATCTATACCCCAAGAACCATGACAAAAAATTAGTTACTGCAGACCAACAAACGCAGGTTGCAGCATCTTCAAGTTTGACCATTGCCCAGATCGTCAGGGGTGCAAAATCCTTGACGTTGCAGCGCAGCTTGTGCTCTGACCAGAGACAATGAGCGAAAAATCTTTGATGCAGCGGCAGCAAGGGATGTGGGCTTATAATTCAAGGCAACCAATGTTGGCTGTGAATAGGAATCAATTCTTTTTTTTGCGGATGTTTGAATCATAGATATGTAGATGCAGTCTTTGCATCAATATATATATAGATTATACATATATATATATTACATCTGAATAAATTACAAGGACCTCACGTCGCGACGGTCACGTTCGAAATGGTTCGCAGAGGAAATTTCTATCCCAGGGAGGCCTGCAAGGTGTTTTGTGCGGTACTGGTTCTCAACAGGTTCTAGCTGTCTATGTGTTTATTCATGGATGGATGCATGTATTACTCTAATTTGATTGATCTATTTGATTTAACTTGATTTGATTTGATGTGTTTTGTTTTTTGATGGATTACTTGGTTATTGATCGATTGAATGCTTGATTCATCTTCTGATCCTGTGTGCATTTTCTGTGTTCTTCTACAGCATTTGATTATTTGTTCACTTGTTTTGGTAGTATCTATCTATCTTTGTTCTCTTTCTTCGTCATTCACTAAAGCTTTATAGGACCCTCTTTATCTATTTCTCAGCTCGTGGTTAAGTGGTGATCGGGTTGGTGTTTCAGAATTCCGTGGGTGCCGAGCGATCATGGCTTTGTTGGTGGTCCTTGGTTTCCAGACCACTAACCCCACGCGCAGTTTACTTTTTATTCAAAGTATTTATATCTCGTGGTATCTCTGTCATGATCTTGTTGTCATTATCTCATTGAATCTCTTGATGCGGATAGGTTTTTGACGGTGTTTTCATCAAATGCGGCTCTTGGAACTCCGATGCCAAAACCTGGCAGGTGTGGCTTTTCTTCCTATTTTCCCTCTTCAAAATATGGTCACATCCCCATTGATAAATGGCCATTTTCTCGGAGGTTATGCTTTGACCATTTATCAAACGAACATCACCATCGTCGCCAGGAGGTTCACATGGGTTTCCGCACGGTAGTTAGTGCATAGTGTTCCCATCAGTTTTTTTCGCGGACACCTTGAGACATGCAACAGCAAGCAAGGCGGTAAGGACAGTTTCGACAAACTCACAAGCTGCCATTCATTTACAAGTCATCACCTCTCAACAGATAGAGTTTTCTTTCCACAAAGATATTGGCTACACGGGACAAGCTGCAATGATGAGAAGAATTAGTGAATTCCAATCAAAAACAGCATATACACAACTATATGAAACAACTCCAGGTTCAACCGCAGCATTCTCCAGCTGCCGTGCCACGTTCTTTCTGCTCAGCGGCTTGTCCAGACAGTGTCGCATGTCATGTCCATCGAGCTGGAACATGCGATTGGCTGCAACGTGGAGTGCTTGGCCTCAATGATCAGCCTTTCCTTTTGTCCAAAACGGTGATTATAGGTGGCCAACCCCCATCTTAACCACAGAATATGGGATAGCCAACTGAAATAGGGATATCACCAACTATTTTGTGTGGGACCAGGACACACGGGGTTCAAACCATAAACTTGCAAAAACATGGCATAAACTGGGGGAGAGAAAACAGGCCGATTTGGCTGCTTCGCGGCCGTAGCGTGTCCATTTGAGGGGACCAGATCCGGCGACATTTCTGGGACGAATTTCGGCTGTGAATGGTCCATCTAGCTCCCAAAATGAAGCTACCAGGTGCCATTTTTCAGTTCATATTTTCGGTCTTCCCAGAAATTTAGGCCACAGAACTTTGGGATTTTTTGGCAATATGATCAATATGCCAAAGCCATAAACCATACACCATTCTACGTTTCATGACGTGCCATGTAGGGGGCCTTGAAACATATTGAAACCATAGCTGATTTTGGCGTTTTCTCTTTCGAGTAAACTTACGACAATCGTCCCAGTGCCGCAGATTCAAGCGCATCTGCCACATCCACCCGAATGGGAGGGACTACTTGAAGGCCGTTGGTGGAGTGAGGGAAGCCCAGACTGAAGAGTGACTTCAGTGACTTCAAAGTTTTCTGAGAAGATGGATTTCAAGTGCCTGGGAGAAACATGGAGAAACTCGGGACAAAGATGGAAGCTGAAGGTTCCTCGTATCCTGGGCAAATCCTGGAGGTAAACAAATCATCTCTGGTATTGGTACATCAATTTAGACTGGGGCATGGTTAAGCTAGGTAAATCATAACCACGGCATGGAAAACCTCTGGATGTCTCCTGAATTTTACCCCCAGTATCTCGGCTCTTGGGAGCAATCCTGATCTTTTGAAAGGACAAACTTCTGATCTCCCGAACCTTGGCTTCTGAGGTGGTGATTGTTGGAGACCTGCCGGGGAAACCCAGAAAACATCGAGCTTCCTTCAGTTTTTTTTTGGTCACCGTCCCTGAAGTGTTCAAGTCCACGTCACGTAGCGGTTACCGTAGCTAGCTGAAGTTTGGAATTGGAGAATAGTTTGAACAGGTCGTACTTGGAAATGGATTCTTGAAGTTCTATGGATATGGGTCAAAATTCAAGATGCCGGAACCAATTTATCATTTTTGATGTTGTAGAAACCATTGTTGACCAGGCTTGGTGCTTGTTCAAAACAAATGTTTCACCACTAATTTTCATTGCGCCGTCGACCGAGGAAAGATCCACACGCTCAGGTGCTGCGGCGAAGCAGTGACTAGAAATCCTATTGATTGGTTATTCTAGCGGGTTATATAATTAACCTGGTTCACTGGGGATTTTCATCATCATTTATTGGAATCTTTATGAACCAACGCCTGTCATGGAATGACAGAGGGGTTGGAACACTGCTCATGTAGAGATATGTGAACCTCATGCACTATATATTCTACTATGGAGGCCAGCAGTCGACCCATGATCTTACCAAATGTATCGGGGGACACAGATCCATAACAATCGGCTTTATGTTGATGTGAACAATCGACGGTACACAGGTACACCGTTTGGGGTCCACTTGAAGAATGGTGTGCGTGGCGTGTACCCCATATCTAACTGGGTGAGTAGAAGAGATGATGCTTCAAAGGCTACTAGATTTTCCGCATATCCCTTTGTGTGAATTATAACTAACAATGTCAACACGGTGTTTATGTATTTCAGGTTGGTGCACTATGAACTATTTCAATCTAAATCAGCCATATATAGTAGATACATATAGATATATATCTATATCCATGGATTTCAGGTTGGTGAATGATCACTGGTTCCCCCATGGTTCTGAAGCCCTCCCCATCCCAAAATTCCCCCAAGGACGGCTCGCGCAGGTCTTCTGTCAGGGACACGACGACTTTGTGACGTGCTTGGCAGTGACTGGGCAAAATAAGAGGTTCTTTTGAGTACTAACCAATTCTGATTGGTGGTTTGGAACATTTTTTTTCCATATATTGGGAATTTCATCATCCCAATTGACTAATATTTTTCAGAGGGGTTGAAACCACCAACCACCAATCCATGTTTGGGGTTGACCATGACCCACAGTTCTGTTTGGATTCACAAGCAATATGGGGTTTAACCAGGGGGGTTTAGTCGATGAGGAGACGGGGGAGGAGACGGTTGATTAATATAATGAAAATGGTGACATTCTTTCAGGTGACGGTTGGGCCTGATTTCAACATATTTCAACCATAAAGACATGGTTG